AGGGAAGACCTCAGATATTGCATCCCAAGAAAGGTTCTGATCTTTCGTGCGTCTTCGTTCTAAGAAGGCAGGTTTCATAGGTGTTCCAATCATTTCAACTTTGCAAGTTAGCATTGCTACAACCTCTGACATTGGGGGTCTTAGATTTGCATGAGGCTGAAGACATAAGAAGGCAACTTGGATTGCTTGCAAAACATCCCTTTCCACAAATCCATTTTCATGCAATTTTGGATCTACTAGCTCGATCACATTTGACGTCTCGAATAACTTCCACGCCTAAATTAATAAGTGAAATGGTCAGTGGCAAGACTTCCAACTATGCTAAAAGAATCATTGAATTGCTGTATAAGTAATAATTGGTGAAGGATAAAAGGCCTACATATTCAGGGAGGTATTGCATTTCTGTTGGTAAAGTGAGATCTGTGTTTTTTCTTCCGCTAATTATTTCTAGCACAAGAACTCCAAAACTATATATGTCCGCCTTTTCGGACAATTCTCCTCTAATAGCATATTCCGGTGCTGTATAACCTCTGCACAAGCAGAAAAGAGACAGTTAAAAACAGAAGGAAAAACAGAGAAGAATATTCTTAAGGCCTTTTTTTAAGTTTGTCCACCAGTTGCTGGACTGCAAGCAAATTGTGTCATTCCAACATGCATCTAAAGCATAATTTCCACATCTACTTAAAATCATCACCAGATGGACTTACTCTGATGACGTAAAATCTTCTAAAACATCTTAAACATGTGGTGAATACTAGAAATTTACTTTTGAACTCATAAATGACTGAAGTGCAAGCAATTTTTCTTTAATCTGTTTATCCTTGGCTCTATAGTTGTGAGAAATAACAAAACCGGTGGCAGCATGTTTGTGAAAATAACTATAACCAGCAGCAGTGAAGGAACTAAACCAGTTCCGGTAATAATGCGCAGTAGAGGCATACAAGACCTTCTCATGATTGTGATTCTTGTGGTACATAACAGTATTTTTCTTTCAAAAGGAAGAATTATGCTTTTTCTTTTTTCTTTCTTTCTTCCTTTGCCCATGGGAGAAAAGGTCTAATGTGCATTTCCAAATCTTGAACAAATGTATAGAACATCCGTCTAATCACTGACTCATGAAGGGGCCTTATGGAATAAAATATTTGGTGAAGGACTTACAAAGTTCCAGCAAATGTTGTACTGAGATAAGCTTGGTCTTCAGGGAAGAACCTAGCCAGCCCAAAATCTCCAATCTTTGGTTGGTATTTCTCATCAAGAAGAATGTTGCTTGCCTTGATATCTCTGTGGATAATTCTTAGGGGAGAATCCTCATGCAGATACTGTAAACCTCGAGCAATACCCACAATTATCTGGAACCTGGTGCTCCAGTTCAGGAACCGATCACTTTTTCCTGTTTTCCATTAAGAAGAGTTATAAGTAATCATCAAAGTTCAATGATTTACTGCACTATGTCTAAGTGTCAAGTTTCAGTTAATCTGCTGATCGAAGGAAGTAGATCTTGGACATGAGATCAGAAAATCAGCCCTTGAAACATGTTTGCAGAACAAAATGATTGACAATTCATTAGTAAAAATAAGTAACCTTCACATTTAGATGGATTGTTCAGAAATAGAGATTGCTTTCGAAGAAGAAAATAGCGTACACTTGACTCAGCCATCTGATAGGGCATTATGAATTCCCAGAAAATATATCCTCAAAAAAATTTCCAACCCTTCCAACATCATATCAGATAACAAAACAGAAAACTGAGACTCGAAACTATTGGAGTGGTACATCCTGAACAAAAGCTAACATTTTCTCATCATAGTTGGAAATTCAGGTTTGGCGGCAGACTGTACATTTACATGCAGTTTTTGAGGACCCTGAATCCCTGATGATGGCTAATCATTAACTACAAATTTCCTTCTCCATTTATGAAGATCAAAGGAATTACATTTAACTACATATGAATCATCCTATGCTAAGAGCAAAAGAACTATTTTAGTTTCTTTCATCTGTCTGCTTACTTTTTAAATTTGTGTGTGATAGGAAAAAACTTTGTTAAGTGGCAAGTGGATACCACCAATATATAAATGGATAGAATGCAAAGTATTCAAGAAGTAATACCATATACTATGAGGTCCAAGCTCCTGTTTTTCATGTATTCATACACAAGCAACCGTTGAGGCCCATCTGAGCAACATCCGATAAGACGAACCAAGTTCCTGTGCTGAACGCTAGTGATCAACTTTACCTCTGTAAGAAATTCTGATTCTCCTTGTTGAGATTTGTCAAGGCACAATTTCTTAGCAGCAATTAGCCTCCCATCTCCTAGTTTTCCCTGACAAAAAGATAGAAAGAGATTTAGAAATGAAGGACTCCCATCTGTTCCTCAAAATCCCAAGAATGTGTTCTTCCAACTCCGAACAGAATGGTGATGAACATATAAAGGCGCAGAAAGCACCAAAAGTTTCATTTTTAATTTTTCCAAGTATATTGTCATATCAACTTATCATATCATATGTATTAAATGAATCTTAATATTTGATTTTGAAAGTTAAGCAGCCTTGCATCTACACTATTGAAACATTTTAAAAATCTTATGAGTTAATGAAGTTATATGTAGAAACTTGTGGTTTGGATGACTGTCTCAAACTTGCAGAGGTTCGGAAAGAAAATAAAAAATGAAAAATAAAAGAAAACTAACACCATTGGTTGCCATAGATTCAGTAATAGTACCCGATAGACAGGGCCAAATCCACCTACTCCAAGGAGATTACCGGGATGAAAATTCTTGGTTGCCATCTTCAATGTCCGGAAGTCGAAATAGCTTACTGTTCGAAGGTTCCCACTGAACAAATCTTTGGATTCTGCATTAAGACAGAAAGAAAAATATTACAATTGAGGTCTTACCAAAATCTTGGTTGTTATTTTTTGAAATTAATCTGTAGCACAACCTGGCTGCCTTCTGGCTCGTGCTACCAATTTCTTAAGCTCTTCTGGTTTGATCAGTTTCCGAAACACTAATATCAGAACTAGCAAAATTATGAGCATGACTATCCCTCCGAGGAAAAAGAACATCGCTGGAGATGGCGGCTTAGAAGTGGAGTTCATCTCCATAGAGGTTCCTGGAGACGCCACTGCAACTACAAAAAATTGGAAAACTGTTTTAGTAGTTCGTGTGTGGATATAGTCCCGCGTAGGAAAGTTAAGAGACCTTGCAAGGGCTTATAAGGAGTTGCATCTCCCTCATCATTACCAATAGGTTTTCAGGTTGGAACCTCAACATGGTTTTTACAATTTTACATAACGATCAAGCCACAATCAGATATAAGGATGAAGAACATTGTTTTTGCAGTGAAGCAATCCTTACCTAGTAGTCCTCGGCCAGTCATTGTTTAGTTTATAGCTTGAAGTGAACAATTAATGGGTAGAGGCTGCAGCAGAGAGTCAGAGACAACAATGGAAATGTGGCCTTGGTTTTGCTGCTATTGCTAGTAGTTTAAACAACAACAACAAGAACAGCAACAGCAGCTAGAACCATCCATTGTTCTCTTTCTCTTTCTTCTCTTTCTTGTTTGTTTGGTTTTTTTTGTTTATTGATTTTCTTGCGTTGGAAAACGCTTTGGGGGGAAAACGAAAGACAAGGAGAGACATAGTGTAATAGAATACAAGGGTAACATAAGAGTAATCGAAGGAATGAAATTTCGGACATCACAACATGTAGTTTTTGGTCACTTATGGGCGCACGAGTATTCCTCTTGCCATTGCCAAACGACAAGCTCAATCATTTGAATCACATACTTAACTACTGACCAATAATTTGATCAAAGAAAAAAAGAATTAACCATAATAATATTTAATATTGGCATTTCTATGTGCTACTAATAAGGAGGCCTGGGATTAAACAACCGTGGTTCATGACCGCCTCTTTTCGGCCAAGTGAACGTGGGTGAAAAGGAATGGACTCACTATCTTACCAACTGGTCTAACCATATATACTCACCAAACATAAATTTGAATAAAGCCATAAAACCAGAGTTTTGAATTTTTTTTCTTTCAATTTTGTACAGATATACATTTGTTTATATGGTTTCTAACTCCAATTTCAAATTACCAACAACCATTGCAGCTGTCCATGAACATCAATTATTATAGTAAAGTAATTATTACGCAATGAACTGGGATATTTTTTGTTCCGAAGGAACGCCTCTCCCAAAGGGTGCTATTTTAGCTCTCATTTAAATCTCTTTCTTCTTCTTTTTTTTTTCAATCAATAAAAAGGAATTCGAACTTGAAACCTCTTTTACTACTATAAAAAGAGAAATATTACTAAATTAATAACTAGTTGATGTCAATGCTATAACTCAGTTGGTTGAGCTCTTTCACCTCCACTCATGCGGGTAGAGGTTCCAAATCCTTAGACACCCAATGAATATTTGTGTAAACCCCCCTTCCCAAATTGCTTGTACTAAAAACAAACAAAACAACTAGTTGATAAGTCTTAAATCCTTTTTAGCATATAGCCAAATGTAAAACTCAAAAATATTGCATGATTTTTTGTTATGCTTACAAGAGGAATTGCATTTGTGCTTACATGGCATGGCATAACATTTGTGCCACCAGATTAATGAACAATTGATTGTTGTCAACTAGCAAATCATAACATTCACAAGGATTGAAGTGATCTCGAAATTCTTGATCCCTATTTTGGACGACTAGAGTGTATAAGCAACGTAATGACAGGCAGCAATGGAGGGTCCATGTAAAAATTTCTTATGGTTTCACATATTCTGCAAATACATGATATCAAGTGTACAACTAAAATGATAACTTAGAGGGTTACGTTTAATTATATTGTCTAGGCTCAATTCACCAATTCACAATCCTGTTTTTTCCTATGGACAAGCAAGCATTCATGTGGTTCAGGCAATCCATCTACCTGCAAAAGAGAAAATGTAATGACCATGCTCAAACAACAGTCAGTAACAATAATAACAACGGATTTTAACTGAAACTTAGCATCCAATGAAATGATAGTTTGACACTCACGTCGCAGCACCACAGGCCATGGAAAACCCTTCTGGCTACCATCCCCTGAAGCAAGGCTTATGAACTAAAAAATTGTTTCGTGCCTGTCATAGCAATTCCACCATGTCTTTCCTTGTAGGCTTGAACCATGTCAACTGAAAATCAGCTGCTCATGTTTCCTGGAGCACCCAAACAACAATTTTAGACATCATCCCCTTATATCTGTAAGAGTTATTTATAATAATTTTTATTCGTTTATCAGAATAAAAAAGTAAATGCATTTGAAGAATTGATACGTTGTCTTGAACTGTCTTTTGTTGTGAATTTCATGACTCCTTGGAAGACGAAGAGAACTGTGTTCTTCCCATATGAGACTTGCATATTCTGGATGATCAACAAAAGGATTTCTATTGTGCTGATAAAACTTGCAGACTCTTTCATTTCTCAACTTCTCTTCTCTTGAAGGTGGATCAATCTCATTCCACTTTAACAATGTAGAAAGCAGTCCCATCTCACTAGTTGCTGCTACCACATGCACCCAAAAATTTCAAGCAATCAAGATCTATGCTCAAAGCAGCTAGGCAGTCTTAATTCTCAACTAATAAGAGAATATATGGATGCAAGAATGAACTCAAAAAAGCCAACTATAAACCGCATTC